TGGTGTGGAGCTGGAGGCCCCTTCTCCCCCGAGAGCCTCCCGATCATTAAGGGGGGACGTAGGGCGGCGGAGACCTGTACGGGGTCATGTTCTTCGGGCGGGAGCCTTTCCCCTCCATGGGTGCGGTGAAAGGGGGGGGAGGCTGGTAGGGCGGCGCGTTGGGGTCCTCGTCCCGCAGCGGCGTGTACTCCCCGATGGTGTCCTGGTTGAGCGGTGTGGTCTCCGGCATGCTCTGGTTGGGGTACTCTGGGGGGGGCAGCGGGGCTTTCTCCTCCTGGAGGATGAGGGGCATGCTGGAGGACGGCGGAGGCTTGGAGTCATCCAGCTCGTCGGCGAAGATGATGGGCACGCCTTTCTTTATGAAGGTGGCCTGGTCTTCGATGGTCAGCTTCCCTTTCCTCTTCTTGCGGTAGCAGATCATGGCGATGATACCGGCCACCAGGAGGATGGCGGCCACCACCACGGCGGGGATGACGGTGTGCAGGTACACGTCGTCCTCGCTGCTCTTCTCGGGGTCTTTGCCTGCCGCCACCGTCGGCGTCGCCTCCGAGATCACCCTTCCGTCCTTCGTCACGGGGATGAACTGGATGTGCCTGCAGCTGCCGGAGCCGACCACCGACACGTTCAGAGGCTTGAACTCGGGCTGCAAGACGTTGGAGAAAGCTGGGCTCGGCCCGCCGGAGTCATCCGCAATTTTTTTGCTCAAAGTCCGGATCTGCTCCCGGGGGCAGGGCTCCAGGGGCAGCGTATTGTTCGTCCACTCCACCACGATGGAGCCTTTGGCGATGTCCTGCACCGTGATGGTGCTGCTGTTCCTGTCGCCAAACGCCAGAGCCAGCTTCTTCACCAGCATGATCTTCTTATTGATGTCATTGACCACCGCGTTGTGGTCTCCTTCCAGCCTGGCCTTGAACTTCACTGGAGACTTGTCCCCGTGCGGGCGTTTGTGGACGTGGATTTCAAAAGCATCCACGGCAAAGAGCCCGCCTTTGTCAGTCGCGTACATGAAGTACTCGTGCTTCCCGATGTGGTTGTGGTCCGGCATGCCGTACATAAGCTGGCTGGTGCTGTTGAACTGGACCCATGAATTCTCCTCTATCATCTGCTGCTCCTTCAGCTTCAGGGTCAGCTGCAGTTTGTCGGTGGTGGTATCTTCCTTGTCGTAGAAGGTATCTGATGGTATTTTAACCTCAAAGTAGGTGCCCTCCCACGCGTCGACCCTGTCGATGTGGTTTGTCAGCTTGGGTGGCTCATTTGGCTCCCCGGGCCGGGGGATCCCGCTGGCTGTGGTGCGTATGCGGGTCGGCGGGGAGGCCGTGGTCAGCTTGGAGATGGGGGATCTGGTCGTGCTGGGGGGCTTCGTCGGACGGGGCGTTTTGGGTCTTCGAGTAGGCTTTCGCGTCGTCGCCGTGGAGGAATCCGTTGTGGATGGCGTGGCTGGCTTCAGAGTGGAGACTCTGGGTTTCTTGGTGGTAGTTGTGGGCGGGGTGATCACCGCCGTGGGCTCTACGTACCCAGGCATCGTGGGGCGAATTGGCACGGAGGCCGTGCCGGTGCCTTCTGCTACCCTGGTTGGCTGGATCGGTCCCAGAGTGGGCGTCTGGACGATGGGGCCCCTCGTTCTGATGGTGACCGTAGGCTTCCTAGGCAGCGGAATGGGCTCCCGGACAGGGGGTGCCATCGTCTCTGTGGGAGGCGCGATGGCGGGCGACGTCGGGGTGGGGACGATCCTGGTTGGCGGTTCTTGTGCGGCAGTGGTGGGTGGCCCGATGGCGGTCAATGGTGTAGGGGTGGCGTTGATCTGCCGCCGCATCCTCTTTGGAAGGTGAGGTTTCTTGTTAGCGATGTGCCAGCCAACAACGGGATAGCCAAGGCGGGCAGACATGGTTCCTTCCTTAGCTGGGGCCTCCACCTTGCTGATGTTGGGGACGCTGTTTTGGCTCAGAGAACATCCCAGTTTCCATGAGAGTAAGGCCCCGTTTTCCACCACCTTCTTTGCATTTCCTGGTCCAGCCATGAAGGCCGACATGTCAAAGAGTCTGTTATTTACAACAGGAACCAACTTCATGTTATGAAGTTCCACCTCCGAGAAGCTTCTCATTCTGTTTAAGAGTTCAATCCTCTGCTTTGGTGTCATTTTTGTTAAGTCAGCATCCAAAATGACAGTCAGGATCGTGACAGGATCTTCCGAGCCACACACAAATGGTGCTGCGTCACCTGTGTCTTGGACGGCCACTCGCACCGACTGAGGCTCGTTGTGGTCTTCTTGGTGGACCTCAACGGAGAAGACGTTTGTGGTCTGTGGCACGTAGCTCCCATTGGGGAAGGGCTGCAGCGTGGTCACCGAGATGTAGTGGACGCCCTTGTCCGTGTCAAGGGGCAGCCCTTCCAGGGAGCTGCTCTCCGTGTTCCAGTGTAACCAAGAAGGCAAGGAGTCCTTCCCAGCTTCGGAGATCTAGCAAACAAACAAACAAACAAACAAAAAAGAAGGTGCTTTTAGAAGTACAGCATTAGGACAGGTCCTAGGGGCGAGAATGTTTTATTTAAAGGATTAAAGAAAAATCCAAAGCCTGACAACTGGGGAAGGAACACCCTGGTCAGAGCGGAGCAACCTGTGTCTCCTCCTCCACACGGTGGCAAGGATGAGCCCTGCAGGGTGCACTGGTCTCAAAGGGCTTAATGACCCACCGGAGGTCATCAAGTCCTGCAAAGGTCCCTCGCCTGCGGGCACCAGCACTCTAGCACTTGCTGTGCAACCATTTGTGCTTAGAAGCGGTTCATTTTCTCCGAGGGCAGAGGAGGAGTTCCAGCCATGGGGACAGCTACAAAGCTGAGGGTGAAGTTATGCGATACGGCAGGGCAAATCCAACTGCCCTCCTCCCCCGTCTCACTCCTTTCCTCACCTGATCACACCCCCTGCAAGCCCACAGCTCCAGCAGCTTGGTTTTCTCTGTTAACTTTCAGCTTCGTCCCGCTGCCCCCAGAAGCTCGGAGCCCCTCACCTGGTTGGAGCACACCAGCTCTCAAGCAGCAGCAGCGAATCCCGAGCGCAACGCAGCTGCTTAAAACGCAGCGTCCTCCTGCACTGCCAGAAGAACGGCAAACCGGGGCCGAAGGAGGGGAGCAAACCCGACGTCCGGTCACCCCAGCCTGGGCAGGCAGGGACACGGCACAGGGGCTGGAGCACTGCTGGACGTCAGGCAGAGCAGCGCACCAGCCTGGCTTCGTACTCAGAGTTGACTAAAGCGCGGGGGTTCACTGTCATATAACTTGCTTCTGCAGAGTAGAAACAACGGGCGGCTTTGGCCCAGAGCTCAGGACTCCAACACACTGTTTACTACCTCTTTTAGGTCAACGGCAATGCTTTTTTTGTTGGGTTTTTTCCATGATTAGTGAAGCACAGTCCAAGATGACAAACCGTGCGGCCCGACCACAGGGGCAACGTACACAATGGCATTTCCATACGCTCCAGGGAAAGGAACGAGCTGGAGGTACCTTCACTGGCTGCCTCCACTTCCCAATGTATCCATTTCTGAGCCCACCCTCCTCTTCTGACCTCAGGTCCCCTTCCAGCCAGCCCAGGTCCAGACCTTTTGGGTCCTCCGGCCATTTTGCGCCTGCGGGGATGATGCTGGTCCTCTCCAAAATGTCACCAGCATGGCTGACACCCTGCCAAGGGGAAAGCCACACGTGTTGGAGCCCGGGGCACTCCTGCCTCCCAACCCGGGCCACAGCCAAGGGTGGACACGAACCTCCCAACCCCCCCCCAGCAGCTGACATCCATCTGTCCGTGCTACAGCCGCTCGCCCATCACGAGGCGCAGCAGAGCCGCTCAGGCTGCACGGTGGTGGAAGGGGTGACACTGCCAGCTCCACGGGCTGTGACATTTCCCGGGGCTGTGGGTACCCCAGGGCGAGTAACTTGAGCTTTGCTGCCGCCTCCCCTGGGCTCGGAGGCGTTTGGAAAGTGCCTCCCAGGGAATTCAGTGCCCCCTCTCCCACCCCAGGGCCTGGCAGCACCGCAGCCGGCAGCCCTGGCCGGGCTTTCCAGAGCTCACCACGAGATATCTCCCCTCCCACACCCAGAGGAAACAAGACTTTTTAGGCCCCATGGAGACAGATTTAGCAGCCTGGTAGAGGCTCTGGGCTTAATGCAGAGCCACGCTCCAGCTCTCCTCCTGAAAGGGTGCTTTGGTTACTTTGCAATTCTGTAAAGCTCATACATATTTCATAATTTATCAAAACGCAAAGCTGGGTGAGCAGCTTCGCAAAGAAACCTGCCAGGCAGGAGTGCCCCCGCGTCCGGCAGCAGGCCAGGCCTGCCTAACCGCACGTCCCACTGGGGAAATCCCCTGGGATGTACAAAGAGCGATGCCCGGTGCTACAGGGCTAGGCAGACCACCAGGCCTGGGTAGACCACCAGGCCTGGGCAGACCACCAGGCCTGGGGACCTCTGCCACCCCACCGGCTGCAGGCAGGATTCAGGCAGCACACAAAGACAGGGCGTCGGGGCTCACAGACACCCCCCCTCCACCCCGCTGTGGATTGGATTTCGGCACACTGAAGGATCTGGACGCACAGCTCTGCAAGGATAACGTAGGACCCCAAAGTCTCTTGGCGAGAGCAGCATGAGAAAGCTTTTGTGCAAGAGCCACAGAGGGTTTCGGCCACGACCGTCGGGACAACACCCTCGTTCCTCTCCTCGGCAAAGTATCAGCCCCGCTTTCGGCCAGCCTGGGCAAGCTAGAGAGCACATCATGAGACACACGCTGCGTACAGTTTATAGAGCAGAGTTTAAAGCTGTTGGCACAGCTTTTAGTTAACTCCTCAGCAGCAATATCTGAGCAGGAAATTGAGATTCCTGCTTACACCAGCTGGAGAAAGCTGGCCCCAACGTATGCCACCCAAACCAAGGTGCTGAGACATGAACATCCTTCCGCTTGAACGTGCTGTTTACCCGTGTGTCTGGCAGAAGACAGTGGGTTTTGGCAGGGCTGCTGCGTGCACTCACCCCCCCCCTGCTGCAGCAAGAACAGGAGCTGCCTTTACCCCAGCTGGCCCGAGGGAAAGCAGCCCTTCACCTGAGAGGGGCACACGGGGCCAAACCTCCCTCCTGAGAACAAAGGGCCAAATTGTCCTTCCTTAGCATCTCTTCTGCCAAAAGAGGGCACAGGCAGGGTCTTTTTTCCTTTAATAATTTCATTGCACCCTCTAAAAACCACGATGCCAGGGCAGCGCCCAGTGCAATCCAACATTTACATTAGCGGGATGGTGCCACTCTGTCATCTCGTGCCAAAATTAGCCGCTAACCTGCCCACTGGGGAGGAGGAAGGGCAGGGTTGGGCGCACGTTAGGAACAGGAACGTAAGGAGTCAGGACAAAGCCGCAGCTTTATTGAGGCTTACACAATCAAGAAGAATAAAAACTTCAATATCGAGTAGTTAAACGCACGCTGAACATGTAATTTCAGGCTACATTTGGAACACATCTTCCCCTTCCGTGCACTCTGCAAGAGCCCTTCATTACAGGATCGCACACTCCCTACAGAGTTTTCCTGCTGCTCCCTCCTCCCCAGGCATGGCCCGTGACACAAGGAGGAGACGTACACCAAGCGTTACCTTTAATCTCACGAGGTGATTCTCTCTTCAATCACGCATGCTCCCATGTTTGATAGCCAAACTCACTTTGGAAAGGTGGCCAACCTCACGTGCAAAAAGGACAGTGAGGGAGGTACAGGCCAGTCTGAATATTCCTGCTTGGAAAACTATTTTTAACCTACAGTTTACGTGTGAGCTCACGTTCTTAAGGGCCCACGCTAGAAAATGAAACAGCAGGTAGACAGATTCACACCAAAAACTAGGCTCTCCTGAAAACCAAAACCAGGCCAGGCACTCACCTACTGGGACAACTTGTTCTAGCAGGGATGCGACGGCTGCAAAACATTCATAAACCCACTTAAACTTGATTTAAAAAGAGCTGAGCTAGTTCAGCCGTATTCACCCTGCGAGGAGATGTGGTCTGTTTCTAAGGGTTCTGCAAGAGGAGATTAAGAATATCAAATTTATGTGGTATGAAACCCATGAAGATGCCTGTGCCTCCCCTGGGAAATCTTTGGGAAGGCAACAAGTCGCAAGCGTTCGATGCCACGGCTCCGCTTTAAACACAGCTACTGCCCCTGGCAGCAGAATTTATCCACGTTCGCCTGACAAAGGAAGACCCCAGCAAGATTACAGTAGATAACGCAGCTATCGGGCTGAATAAAAATACTTGTTCCTAAAGGAACGCTAACCAGCGAAGCCCTCGGCGTGGGTCTGCCCTGGTTGCGGTGCTCGTGGTGGCGTGAAACCAGGAACCCTGTACTCTGTTCTAGCTGGGTTTCCTTCAAATATTGCTTCAAAGGGTATTTGTTAAGGCTAGATGTAGTTAATGATTTGGGATCTCTAGTTTTCATGTAAAAAGTTTCCCAGTTTTCTATGTACGCAATAAATATCAGCTTTAAGCCCTGCCATTTCCCTCAAGGGGTCTGGTTTCAAAATAACTCTTCCATTGCTCAAGACAAAAAAAGGCTGTCTCTGTTTTCTCATTATTTGAGATAATTGCAAATGAATGCTTATCGGCTAAAGATTACACAAGCCTGGCAGTGTACAGAAGACCATTAAAAAATTAGCCATGTTTGTGATTTTAAATACATACAGTGGTCTGGCTGGTTTTGAAGACCTTGTTCACAAAGTCCTTTCAGATATACATGGCCTGTTATTTTTAGGCCAGCCAAGAGCAGTCAGTTCATGAAAGAAGATAGCTTGGTTTGATTTGTGGTGGTGGTTTTTTTTTTTTTTTAAACTTAGATCTTAAAGCCCTGTAGCCAACAAGACAAAGATAAGCAAACGAGCAGTGAGCAAAACTGCTGCCTCCGAGGGAATTCAGGCAAAAACCCGCATTCTTGCCTACAAGGGTGCCCTTTAATCCTCCAAGTATTTAGTCCTCCTCCTCCCCATGAATCCTCCAAAAAGGAGACAGGTACTGTAGGATCCTGCCACAGGTCTCCCTTTGGCACACTGCTATGAAATCCTCCCGGCCCTGGAGGTACCCCTGGGACGTCCCCAGCCTGTGCAGCCAGACCTTCCTGCGGGCAGCAGCAGCCAGGGACTCGGCTTCTTCCTGCACCCTTTCAGATCAGTCCTACAAAATTCTCAACTGCTTTTGGGCAGGGGGTGAGCGTGGATACTCCTGCAGCTCTGCCAGATCTCCCACCACCCCCTTCTCCTCCCCGTGTCCAGCTGTTGCCGAGAGACCGACCCCATACCGGGGATTTCATTTGGAGCATAATTACTGATGACAATTTACTGTATGACAGACTCCCCTTCTGGGTTGCTCTTCAGCACTGCCCTAACACACACGGCCAATAATAAAAAATACCCCAGCTGAGCCCTCTCCACATCCCAACAGAAGGCAAGCT